AAGCCCAGCAAACACAAAAGAGGCTAACCAAGACAAAAGTTCAAAACAAGAGAAAAAGACATATTGTGATGGTTTGGTCCATTATTATGCAATTAGATCCATGTGGTTTGGACCTGATTCTATTAAAGTGCTTAGAGTTTTGACCTCATTCTATTTTAACACTTACCAGTTTGGAGTTGATTTAGTTTCAACATCCCCAAGAATATATGCAAGGCAAGGCTAGACACCTGGTACTATGAATTAGCGCATTATGAAATTGAAGCACCATTTGGATTTCAGATACAAAATATATATATATATATATTATATTTATTTAAATTTTAAATTTTTTTTATATCATAGACTTTTCTAGGATGTTGACTTTATGTGATGAACCCCATTTTCCCATTATCAACTATATCTTTATCTTTTACTTTCACCTAGCTATTTACCACTAGCTATAACTCGTGTAACTCGTTATTTACTTTTATGTTGCTAAGAGACAACTTGGAAGCTGTATTTAAGCGTTTGTTGACCCTATTTTTGGATTATTATTGAATTGAGTTTATTTCTATTTCCCATTTTGCTCTCTTTTCCCTTTTGAGATAACGAACCCATCAACTGGTATCCAGAGCCAAGTTGCAAATGGGAAAGCACAAACAAACTGCCGCCACGGCGGAGCTCACGACGGCAGAACTCGAACTCGAGTTTCAACGAGATCAAATGGTGAATCAAATTACGGAGGTGGTGGATTCGGTAATGTTGTTGGCATCTCGCCAAGTGGAACTTCAGAACAAAATGGGGGAAATACAGAAATTGTTGTTTGCCTTGACCACCCATCAAACCCAACAGGCGAATTTGCAGCACACCATGATGGAGGAGATCCGCTCCTTAAAAACGAGTTCGTCAAGTCCGGTCAGATATGTGCCTACTGTGGCTGACCCAACTAGATCTACACCGATTTCTTCTTTTGGAATCGTAACCGTACCCAGTTTGGCGACCCAACCACTACTGTTTGTGCAAAAATCCTCGGGGGAGAATATTCGCTTCTAGATCCTTCACCCTTTGATCTTTCTTCTTTCTCTTCCTCGATTCCTGTATAAAAGACCGGAGTAAATAGACCACACCCGGGGGGTATTGGCCAAAGGCCCCCCTATCCCTAAGTTAGTTCGAGTGTTTATGGGAAAACAATAGCTAACAAAAGGGTGCAGAGATGTATGTATGGTGTGAACAAGGTGGCCGGAGCCGTGTGGAGAAAATATGGAGAGTGGAGAGTGGAGATGGAGATTTAGCTTCGGGTATTTTTCTCGGGTTTTAGGAGTGGGTTTAGATGTAGCTTTTTTAAAGTCCCTTTACAACCACAACTCAAATGTTTACCAAGGGATTGCCACTGTCTGGAATACCCACATATACAAATTCACCAACTGCTACTCCAATTTTTGGAACATTCGCTCATTCGATGGGAATGAAGCCAATTTTTGGAACATACACTCTCTCTAGACGGCATGAACTCCTTGTTGTCATGGGTCTGACCAGCCCTATATTTGATGGGATAAAGCAGAAACAAACAGATTGCAAGGCTGATCCTGAGACTTCTACTATCATTCAAACAATTATCAACAATATCAACACAAGAAAGAGGCCTTTTGGGGAAAGGTGAAGTGCTTTATATGTGTGGACACTTCTCTTCCTAGTAAGAGGCTTTTTGGGCAAGATAACATTAGCTTGAGCCTAAGAACAAAATCGTGAGGAGGGAGGCCCAAAGCGGACAATATCTTGCTAGGGGAGTCAGGTCGTGACAAAGGACTTGAAACAAGTAAGGACAACCTACATCAATAATAGAAACTATAATAAGTCAACCCTATATCTTTAGAGAAGGTATTCCAAAATAAAAATCTAGAGATCTCAGGTATAATGGAAAGTTGGAAACACTTAGCCACAAAAGAGGTATAAACAAAAACAAACGAAACAACTATAAAACATCCCTTAGATTCATACTGTGTTATCAGGATGGGCACCATCAGGGTGAATAGAGACGAGGACCATGTTGGGCTGATTCAAATCAACAACAAGAACTCCTCCATCATTAATGGTGTGTTTACTAATCAAGAATTGGAATTCTCGTCAGTAATTGAATTTCACTTATGAAGGATTCATGTGTTTAATTTACATCAAGGAATTGAAAAGTAAGTGGGGCCCACACAAAATTAGGAATTGAATTCTTGATTTTGGAGGAAATCAACTCTTGGGTGGGAGGTGGTATTCTAATTCCTAGAGAACTAACCCATTAGGAATTCATCTTTTTTACCCATCATATCCTCACACAATTTTCAAAATTCCAAATTTGTCATCTACTTTAACCCAACAACGAGAACATTTTAGTAATTAGTACCACTCCTATCCCAATTCCATATGATTTAGTAAACAACTTCAATAGGAATCCAAAATATAACTTCCCTCAATCCATATGGTTTAGTAAACAACTTCAATAGGAATCCAGAATTTAATTCTCCTCAATCCAACTCCTCCTCAATTCAATTCATCCTCAATTCAATTCCTCTTAATCCAATTACGGATTAGTAAACATGGCATAAGATTAAAGCGATGTGGCAAAGCTTCTTGCCAAGGCCACAACGAAGGTGCCATTCGCCAAGAGGCAGTGGGGATTTCTTCATATTTCACCAAAAATGTATATTACCATTTTTTAATCAAACCCTCAGAGCATCTCCAACAGTCTCTTCAACAACTTTGGAATTCTAAAATAAGTGAGCCACATTAGAAAAACTCTCTCCAACAACCTCTTCAACCTTAGTCATCAAAGCTGCAACCTCTTTCTCTCTCTTCAGGACTAGTAAGTTGACTTTGGCTCTTCAAACATTTAATTTTACTTTGGAAAAACAAAACCTACCTTGACAATGTTAAAAACATGCATTTTTTTTAATTTGCATATAATAAATATATAAGACATTTTTCACATGTTTTCATATTTTTCATTCTTTTCCATAATCTATATATATAAAGCAAAAGATAGAGAATTGTAAAACATTCAAAATACCAGAAAATGCCCTAGGTTAATGCGAACATTAAGAATTGAAATTATTAATTAAATGAGGATACTATGGTATATTCACACTTTTTTATATTAAAAAAAAATGAAATTAAAAGAAAAATCAGATAATGAATCCTATTTTTATGGAACACAACTACCAATTATCAATTTTAAAATAATTTTTTTTTAAAAAAAGTAGTAAATAAGACTTTTCAGATTGCCACTTAGGTCAACAAATTTCAATTTAAAGAGTTTCAGTTGCGGAGCTAGCTAAGGCCCACAAGGGTCAGCTGACCCTCCTCCAATTTATGCAACAAATGCATTTGCTATGTGATATATTTGATTTTCTTGGGTTTCTTTTATAGATGACCCTTCTAACTTTCTAACTCTAGTTAATTGTTATTCTTTACTTCTATAGTTTTTCCTATATTTATCTTTACTCTATTTTTTCTTTTTAACTTCAATCTTTCTATTCTTTCATTTATTGAGTTCTCTTATAGTTTTTGTTATTGAATCAGCCATCAGTCAAGTAAATCTCTCAATACTAGCTATTCAGTTCTCTTTTGAGCAATGTATTATGATTTGATTCATGTCAAATTATTTCTTTGTAATTTATTGTGCGATGCGGGTTATGATTTTGGTAGATAACAATTAAATTATACAATAAAAAAATATTATGTTAATATTCACGGTTTTCTCAGGCTAATAATGTTGACCCTCCTTAAGAGAATTCCTAGCTACGCCACTAAAGAGTTTTATTTGCTATTACGGTTAACATAATATAGTGTACTAATTGTAATAATTGACTTCAAAATGAAGAACATTATTAGGATTTCTTTCAATTCCAGTTTTATTTTTATCCAGCTTGCTCCACTTTTCATGTAACTTTCATCCCTGTTCTGACCTGACACTCACATAAAGTGTGAGCAATTTGTTCTGTGAAACTTTATGCTTCCACGGATCTCCCTCCAAAGTCTGGACATCCGGATTGTTCTTGAAAACCTGTTCACTTGAAAAGGGAAGAAATCCTAGGGCAGTGTTTCCTAATCGTCAGATTAATCTAACGGCTAGAGATACAAAACTGTACAAATAAAAAAAAATTAAATAAAAATCGCAGTGATTAACTGTACATAGAAAATATGAACAGGCGTCAGTGGTGGAGCATAGAAAATTGCTTCCACCAAATCCAATAAACATGCCTTTTTATTCATCTCTCTCTCTCTCTCTCTCTCGCTCGCTCTGTATATCAGTTTACCTCTCCGGGTAATTTTTTTAATCTGCAAAAAGAGCTCTCCATCTTTTTGTTCTTCTCCTTTGGCATTTTCCCATTTCCCCAAAGCAACCAGAGGTTAGACAGAGAGTCTGAGAAATTAAGAGGTGCTCTGAGTCAGTTGAAAATTACCCAGAAAAAAGAGTGAGGTAAAAACCACATTTACTTTGTAAAAGCTTTCTTCTTTATCTAGCTTATTTTTTCTTCTAGGTACTTGTTGTAGAAAAACGAAGGGAAGAGACAAAGGGTGTGAATAGTTTAGTGATGCCGCCAAAAAATTCTCGAATGGCTGATGCCTGTAGGGCAATGAAGCCTTTTGGCATTTCCGAAGGTCAGACAAAAGCAGCGGTCAAAGAGCTTCTGAAAGTCTATGCAAACAGCTGGGAGTTTATTATTGATGAAAATTACAGACTTTTGCTGGACTTTGTTCTGGACCACAAGCCAGAGGAAAAGGTATTTGTTTTTTACCTTCTTTTTTTCTGCTTCAAATTTTAATAAGATTTTGCTTTTTAATTTTTTATTAATTAATTTAATGTTTTGTTTATGCAATGCTTTTCAAGATTTTGTTTTTATTTATTTTTCATCTATTATATATGTCATGGAAGAGAAATATTGGAATATCTATTTAAATAGTTTTTTTATTTTGTTATACTTACTGGGCATCCTTCTTTTCCCTTTAAAATGGAAAAGGAGCTTTTATACATGAATCAAAGGTGAGCATTTCTTGCTGTATTATGTATAATAATATTCTCTATGCCCTATATTTCTGTTTACCATTGTTACAAATTATGGAGCTCTCATCAACCATGCGGAGGGCATAATGGTTTTCTTATATGATAAAACTGAAGTTTAAGTGTTTTAGCATTTCATATATTTTCGGGCCAGGTAGTGAGATCGAAGAAAAAAGAAGCTCCACCTTATGATAAAACTGAAGTTGTTGAACTTCCAACCAAGAGATATTGCACAAGGCAACAGAAAAAACAGGGATTGTCTCCTTTGGAACACTCCACATCTTGCCTTGAAAAGTCTCCATTAAAAAGGGCACGTCAGAGTAATGAGGATAATCTGTTTTCTGATTCGGAAGAATCTGAAGACTCTCAAGGTTTTGGACTCTGGGAATAACTTCGATCCTCTGCGTAATTGCAACACACAACTGGAGGAAAGTCTCAATCTGATAGGTGAAGATAGTTCTTCAGATTTTGATGAAGACGGCTTGAAGTTGTTGGAAGTGGAATCGTTGAATACGGACAACAAAGATAATGTTTTTGATTTGCCAGAGTTTGTAGCTGCATCATCTACTCCGAAGGGTGACCTGGAAATGTCTATGATTTGCCACTCTTCTCCACAGTCTGATTTCTGTCCTCCACATTTTGATGAAGCTCTAGAAATGGTGGAAGAGACACACATAAAATCATGTAGGGTTGAAGAATGGTTTGTGGAAACAGGAACTGATTCCACCTTTTATGCTGCACAAGATGTTCTTGCCAGTAAATATGATCATCTAAGTTTTCAAAGTGAATTAATTTTATGTAAAAATCTTATCAAGGTTATACCCCATATACCCAAACATATAGCTTTTGGTTGTTATGATGGTCTTCAATGCTTAATTGGTTTTGCAAGAAAGGATATTGAGAACATCGTTGGTGAAACCGCAAAGAGATTAAAGGTGATCTAAGGCTGTAGATCTTCAAAATTATGCAAGGTGGAGGCTGCTCATAACTACCATTCTTCACATGGAGTCATTAAATCCTTTGTTTATATTGATGACATAAGTAGAGGTGAAGAAAGAGTGAAAGTTTCCTTGGAGAATGGAAGAAATGCTGGAGATCTGCCAATCTTTTTTTACATCCCCAATAATTTAGTTTATAAGAACGCCTATGTGAAATTTTCACTTGCTCGTATATCTCATGAGGATTGCTGTTCACATTGTTTTGGGGATTGTTTGACATCACCAGTACCTTGCGTCTGTGCGGCTGAAACTGGGAGTCAGTTTGCATACACTCCAGGAGGATTCGTCAAGGAGAAGTTTCTGGAAGAATGTATATCCTTGAAGCGGGAACCTAAACAAGACCACTACTTGTATTGTAGAAACTGCCCACTTCAAAGGTCTAAGAATGAGAAGAGTTCCGTGCCATGCAAAGGCCATTTGTTGCGGAAATTTATAAAGGAATGCTGGTCTAAATGCTGGTGTAATAAGAAATGTGGAAACCGGATTGTTCAGCAAAGCATCACTGTGAAGTTGCAGGTTAGTTTGTCCTCTGTGAATTTCAAGGTCCTAGGTAATAATAACCAGATGGGTATAAATTCTAAAGGCGTGTAAGTGGTTCAATCTATGTTGCAGGTGTTTTTGACACCCGAAGGGAAAGGGTGGGGTCTTCGAACACTGGAGGACTTGCCACCAGGGGCTTTTGTTTGTGAGTATGTTGGAGAGATATTAACCAACACAGAACTACTTGAGCGAAATGTGGGAAGTCCTGGTAACAAGAATACACGCTACCAAGTTCTACTAGATGCAGGCTGGGGTTCGAAGGGTGTCTTGAAAGATGAAGAGGTCCTTTGCTTGGACGCTACAGTTTATGGAAATGTTGCGAGATTTATCAATCACAGGTGTAAAATCCATACTCTTATATACCCCAGCCACTTCCTCCAACTGAGTGCTTATAGTAATTATTAGATTTATATTTCTAGTCAAAGGTGATATTGCAGAATTATATTATTCTCTTCTATATAAATTTCAAGGTTCTCTGACCAAAAAGAAGCTCAAGGTTATTACTTTCGTTGGTATTGTTTGTCTTGCTTTTCAAATTTTCCTCTCTGGGTCTTGGATTGATCACAAGCAGTTGTGAGTTTTGGATTTGTCTGCTAGTATGAAACAATTTTCTTATTCTTCTATTGTTGAAAATATTTCTGCCTCTTAGAGAATTTATATCTACTTACCCTATTATGGAAGAAGTAATTTAAGCCTAATATAAGTTGCATACACATTTATATCCGAACGCACGAAGAAAATCTGATGCACTTGGTTGCTCAACAACGATATGTTAGTTTCATGTTGTATCAGGTATCTATATTCAGTTTTAGTAATATGAAGGGTTTATTAAATATTTCACACTTTTGATATGTAAGCCATTTATGTACTTCCTCAAACAAAGAAACTTTTAGATTACAAAAATTCTAGGTTTAGGGGTTTAGTGTTTATAGAAGTATCTACTTGACGCCACCTACGAGCATCTGGGGTGTGAACATGAGCTCATCTCTGCCACTCTGCCTATCCAAACTCCCCAGTTTCTTTGTTCAGGTTTTAAGGTTAATCACAGATTGCATGCAAACTTCAAAGTTACATAATTGTCCACTAAGTTTGCATCTGCAGTAGACCTGTAAATTCAACTTTATACATTAAGCTATTATCATTTGCAATAAACTTAATGAACAGTTATTAACAAGAATCATTTAAAGTAAGTCATGAAACAATATTCTTTTTCTGCTGTCATTAAAAAATATTCTGCCTCTTCTAGGTTTATACGTACTTACCCTATAGGTGTATCTTAACATCATAGGAAGGGCATCACTTCATTCCTCAGGTTTTTGAAACATTTCAAACTGTTGAATTGGATGCTCTGTTGATAGGTTATACCATTTATCTACTCCTCAAACAAAGAAATTTTCAGATTGCATCAATTCTAGGTTTAGCGGTTTACCCTTCTTGTAGAAGTATTTTCTTGTCAATTGTCTAATTATTTGACTGTATTCCTTTACATGGTTTGCAGTTTCTTTATACTCAAATTAATTCAGCTGACCTTGTCTGCCTAAAATAACTGATTTGGTTTCATGATGCCCCTTATTAACATCTTTAAGGGTGAACATGAACTCGTCTCTGCTACTCTGCCTATCAAAACTCCCTAATTTCTTTGTTTGTTATTTAAGGTAATCTTAGATTGCATGCATGCATCAAAGTTAAGTTATTGCCACGTGCAATAAACTTAACGAACAGTTATTATACGATCACTGACGAGCATCATTCCATTTCTGTATGTATTATAAATTCTATATTAAGAGCCATGTATCTTATTGAAGCTGTCTCAATGTCATTCTGTGCCAGAATGGTTTGTATTCTTCGATATCTTGATTGATGAGAGCAGGCTAATTTGCTCCTCTCCTTGAATACTTTTTTTTGTTGCTAAAATCTTCTACTGAAACGTTTTACATTTATTGGTCAGATGTTCTGATGCTACCTTGGTAGAGATCCCTGTGGAAGTGGAGACCCCAGATCATCACTACTATCATGTATGATTTTTCAGCATTCAATGATCTCATCCCTTCGATCTTCTTTGCACTACTAGTCGAACCAATTCTTCATACAAGTAAATATGATTTCTTTTATTTATTTCATGCAGATTGCCCTTTTCACAACAAGGAAGGTTGATGCCATGGAGGAGCTGACTTGGGTAAGAGGGGGGTTCACCTGTATATGATATGTTATTAATGCGTGTTTGGCATCATCATCCAACTTTCAAATGCCTATGCTGTTTCAGGACTACGGCATCGACTTTCATGACCGTGATCATGATAGTGGCCACCCCATGAAGCCCTTCCATTGTCTCTGTGGAAGCCCGTTCTGTCGCGGTCGTAGTGATATGAAGGGTGATGTGCGCCTACTCACTTACTTCCGAAGGCGACGTAAAGTGTAGCTTCAAGCATGATGCTCTTCATGTTTCTAACATAGGTAGAATGCTTTTTTTGATTAAATTACTAATTTTAAAATCAGTTCTGCTGTGCTGTCTAATTAGTAAAATCACTCAAGCAGAATCTCCAATTTTTGCAAACATAAATTTTTCATTCCTAATCTCAGTGGATTTGGTTTATTGTAATATTAGTTTTTTTAATGCCAGTAGTCATTTGATTATTTTTTTGGTCAAAAATGGCAAAATCAGGTCCGACATGGTTTAAATGTGATATCCAGTTTATTTATATTAATTTTTTTTTTCCCAAAACCTATCAGGTACCGTTTTTGTATATATTTGTTACATGCCTCATGCATAAAATTATGTTCTTTGCTCAAGCATGAATTAATCCTGTAACTCTTGGCACAGTCAAAGGTGACCAAAAGAGTACACAATACTGTTCCACAGCACAAATTAAGGAAGCAAATGGAAGCACAAAGAGAACACAAATACAAGCCCAGCAAACACAAAAGAGGCTAACCAAGACAAAAGTTCAAAACAAGAGAAAAAGACATATTGTGATGGTTTGGTCCATTATTATGCAATTAGATCCATGTGGTTTGGACCTGATTCTATTAAAGTGCTTAGAGTTTTGACCTCATTCTATTTTAACACTTAACAGTTTGGAGTTGATTTAGTTTCAACATCCCCAAGAATATATGCAAGGCAAGACACCTGGTACTATGAATTAGCACATTATGAAATTGAAGCACCATTTGGATTTCAGATACAAAATATATGCAAGGCAAGGCTCATTGCATGTGGGCATTCACAACTAGCATGTACATACCAGCATCCAAAACAAGGTTACATGAAAACCATCTATACCTTAGCTACAACTAAACTAGATGTGGTCCAAGGAATAGAACACCTAACTACAACTAAACTAAATTTCTTCATGGAACACTGGCATCGTACGCCCATGGCCATAGTCCAACATATCTTCACTTCTCTATCGCTTGCGCCTTTTATACAGAGATAGCCTAGATTCGATTATTCGTTTTGGAGGTTGGCAAACGAATAAGTCTTCTTTACAGACTTCATATCAGAATGAAGCTCGCTGTGTTCAACATGGAATCATGATACAATCAGCAATCATAACTTTATTTGAGGACCATATATATCTTATTTAAATACGAAAAAAAAAGATTTCTCCCAAAAAGTTCATTATACAATTGACGAGCAGTTAGCATACAGAAGAAATACATAAGAATGAAATTATGTAAATGCTAAATTGGTAAATTGCCTAGTCTCCTAGTATGCTTACATTTGTCATAGCTGCTCACGGATGTAAGCCATTGATTTCAACATGGAACCTAGTGTATCTCTGGACACTTGAAACTTGACCTCCGTTTCTCCAGAAGTTGTCTTTGTATCTTGAAGCTGAGAAACCACAATAATGTAGATACATTGAACACTAATTATGACAAATTTAAGTATAAAAAATAATAATTTCATACAAAATTGGATTACTTTAGAATAATAATGAATGTTGAATACAAAGGATTCCTATGTTTGAATTTGCAGAGCCATGCATTTCTTGCTGTGTTTCCAAGCATCCTTAGTTTACTCCCAAAATTTCTAGACAGCAGCATTCCAATCCGAACAAATAGCATGAAACACCCAATCCCTAAACTCAAGAGGAAACTGAAGCCCAAAAGAATGCCCAAAAGTGAACTCTGTCCCACAAATGGTCTGTATTGTCCTCCTTGCATCTTCAAAAATCCTTCAAATCCTCTCCATCCATACCACCCACAATATTGTCAATGCAGCACAGCTTCCTATCACCATACCTCTTTTCCTCCCTCAAAAACAGCTCATGAATGGGGTGGCGCCCCACCATTCGTGTGCTTCTCTATTCATTAAAAACTATTATGCTTTGAGGATGGAAAAAAGCTACAAGTTATATGGGACTTGGGTCCAATGAAAATCTGTGGGGTGGTTTGGATGGAAAGGAATACAAGGATGTTTTAGGATATTGTCGGATGTGAACCGAGAAGCTGCAGTTTCTTCTTTGGGTTTTCTATTTTTTTGGGCTGGTTAGGTGGTTTGGATGGAAAGGAATACAAGGATGTTTTAGGATATTGTCGGATGTGAACTGAGAAGCTGCAGTTTCTTCTTTGGGTTTTCTGTCTATTAGTATGTTTTTGTCTTATTTTGACCTCTGGTTCATTGTACTTCTATTTAAACCTTTCCATTACACATTTCTTCTGTTTCGTTTATTAAAGAAACCAAAATGATTTCAACAGATATCTAAATTGTCTTCAAGGACTTAGAAAGTTTATAGTAGATGTGACTTGTCTCCTTAATTTGATCACATTGTACTTCCAGCAAGAAATAGAAATTCCAGTCTAATAATAATAAAGGGAAAAAATTTGCCACGTTCCTTTGTTAAAGAATGGTATGTATGAGCATGCAATTTTAGTCATTGACTACAAATTACCTAACGCACAGTGCGACGGACTGTAAGCATTGCTGATTCATCAAAACATCATCATTCAACTACAGCAGGACAGAAGGCATTTTAAAAGGTAACAAATGAAAAGAGTAAGAATAGCAGTAATACTATTACTACTAATGGAAATTGTTATAGTAAATATTGTTTTGATGAGTTGCACCTGCTACCTCTAAGGAACATCTGCACCTCGCCCCTCATTGGAAACAGAACTTAATGCCCATCATTAATAACTTAATAAGCATACTGCAATCCCAGAGTAATAGGAAACACTACTCTCAGTATGTTGTTCACGGACCCAGAAAACACCCCAAGCTTAGTATTTCCTTCCTCAATACCCTCTTGGTATAGCTTTTCACACTCTAAAGTCCACTTATTTCCCCAACATTTTCCCAACAGGAAATCCATATATCCTTACCTCCAGGCTCCAGCCCAGATAATTCCTGCAGCTTACTTTGTTGAACTTAACCCATAATCTCTTTTGAAAGATACTCAATAGTGCACTTTACCCCCATAACCTTTAAACAGGCCTATTAATCCAGAAATCTTCAGTTATAAACTCACTCAACCACCTATACTGACTATAGATAGCTCAATTCAAATTCCTGTCACAAGTCTAACTGTGATGCCAATCCAATTGCAAAAATTACGGTGAAACCCAAGAAATTTCATTGTAAATACCTTAACACAAGGGGAAAAACTGTGATACGAAAGAGGTTGAAACTTTGGGTTTGCATACCTTCAAATTGATGACAGCAACTCTGTTGGCTGGTGCAGAGAGCTGCTGACTGATATAGGCCATCGATCTTAACATAGGCTCAAGTGTAACTCTTGTTAGCCTAAATTGTACCTCTGTCTCGCCTGCAGGGTTCTTGCCATAATCTTGGAGCTACAATAGATGTAAAAGAATATTAGAACAGCAAGACAGCCATATCAACAGCAACCTAACCTTCTCCTTCTAAAAAAATAAAATTATATAGTTATTTTAATTTTAAATTTTGTTATTGGCCTGGGTGGAGACTACGTGATAGGGGATAGCCTTTACAGTAAAGAGCTAGTACCAGGCTATAGACGTCAGTGGTCCAAATTCAGCTATTATGCTTGAGTAAATTATTTGTAAATGTAAAACGACAAGAATAATCATTATTTTGTTCTTAAAGGGTTCAAATGGAAACTGCATGAATATTTAAATGGTTTCCAAAAGATGCTAAATCACCTCTGAACTAAAGTCACATTAGGTTAAAGAGAAGTACTCGCCTAAGTAACTTAAGTTGAGGGACAAGTGAGGACAATGGATTCAATGATTGGATACGCAACTGTTGATAATCAATAACACAAGGGGAAAAATTGTGCCTCACGTATCACTCAACTTAAATCACTCAGGTTGAGGAACAAGCAGGGACAATGCAATGATTGGATTTGACACAATTCTTGAGATCAATAATTCATTGAAGTGAATCTAGCTTGTAAATGCATTGTGCCTCACTTATCCCTTAACTTAAATCCCCCATCACTTCTAATATTTAAAGTAGCATGAGAACTCTTAAGTGAAATTAAAGATAACTCAAACATACAAGATAGTAAAGTTGGAAAATTCTACACATATACAGAAGAGACATGCATACCTTCAAGTTGATAACGGCCACTTTCCCAGCTGATGTTGAATTCTTATTTTCTATGATCCATGCCATGGACTTGAAACAAGTAAGGACAACCTACATCAATAATAGAAACTATAATAAGTCAACCCTATATCTTTAGAGAAGGTATTCCAAAATAAAAATCTGGAGATCTCAGGTATAATGGAAAGTTGGAAACACATAGCCACAAAAGAGGTATAAACAGGAACAAACGAAACAACTATAAAACCTCCTTTAGATTCATACCGTGTTATCAGGATGGGCACCATCAGGGTGAATAGAGACGGGGGCCATGCTGGGTTGATTCAAATCAGCAACAGGAACTCCTCCATCATTAAGATTAAAGCGATGTGGCAATGCTTCTTGCCAAGGCCACAACGAGGGGGCCATTTCGCCAAGAGGCAGTGGGGATTTCTTCATATTGTCTTCTTGTATATTTCCACTGGCCTGAGAACTAGGAGGTGTGACTTTAGCAACGTTTTTCTTCACAACAGAAATCTTTTTCCCACCCTCTCGTAGAGCACTCATTGCTGCATTGTAAGTCTCCACAGCAATTGCCCCTTCCTCTGCATATTTAATGGCTTCCCGACATAAATTGTTAAAGCGCATGTTTAGTGTTTCAATACCTTGGTTCTCTGAACTCTGTTCATCTAGTCCAACCCCAGATTTGGCATTTCTTGTCCATCGCTTCAATATGTAATGTGGTGGAAGGGTGAGAACATTTGTCACCGTGAAGACAGTCAAAATATGTCTACAGAGGATACCCGAATATTCAAACATCTGACAGCTGCAGCTTGCTTTCATCTCGGAGACATTTAATGTGACCATATATGCCTTGTCATCATGTTCATATTTTGCAACCCTGTATTTACTAACCAGTCCATCACCCTCAATTTTATTTGCAGTATAAACAAATGTTTCTACCAATTCCTCTTGAAACTTTGCGAAAACCTTTTTGGTATACAGGTTAGCTGCCTGTTGTTCCATTGGTGATGGTGTCTTTAGTACTGGTGTTGTGCACATTGTATCATAATCTGCTTCTATTTCTTTTTCTAATGAAAGTTCTAGAGCCCTTTCGTACTGCTTAAAAAACAGAGGTATACTTGTTTGTTGATTCACATAGCCATCAAAGAAAGAACTAACACCTTGGTTTGAGAAAATTGCAGCAAAGAAAGTACCACGAAAATAGACAGGGGCCCATTGCTTTCGAGCATTATACACTGCCTGCAGCCAGTCATTCCTTAGAAGATCGTATCTCTCAAGAAGGGACGCCCATGATGATTCGAAATCCTCAATTGTCTCTGAAAAGTTGATGCAGCTATATAGCTCTCCGTATAAGGAAGGATGAGCAAGATATGTATGAGCCAGTCGTTCTTGTCCTTCTCTTAAAATATGCCACTTGCATATGCAGTGCCGCGTTTGTGGAAATACCTGAGCAACTGCTATTTGTATGGCTCTATCTTGGTCTGTAGTTATAGACACAGGAGGCTTATCATTCATGGCAGAAAGCCATGTCCTAAACAGCCAAGTAAAGGAAGACTCGGACTCATCTAGAAGTAATGCACAACCAAACAATACCATCTGACCATGATGATTTACACCAGTGAAAGGAGCAAATGGGACTTGGTACTGATTTGGTCGATACATTGTATCAAAAATTACAGCATCACCAAAGTTATTATAAGCTGTCCTAGATCTTGCATCAGTCCAAAAGACATTAGTCATTCGGTTCTCATCATCAAGTTGGATAGCATAATAGAAGCCAGGGTTTTCAGCCTGCATCTTCTTGAAATAGTTAAGAAGATTTTGAGCATCTCGTCCAAGTGTTCTCTTTCGGCTAGACGGCCTTATATAGTTAACAGGCCCAAGATTCCTTGCAGGGTGATTTGGTTCTACAGGGGAGACACTCCTACCTCCACGATTGGGTTCATAAGAGACATGATTACCCTCTGTGGCAAAGTAAACATCAGTAGTGGCATCCAAAGTCTCAGCTGTATTCTTTGTAGCACCAGCAAAGTGCCTACGGGGTCGAAGGTAATGGACCTTACTAGGACTTACCATTGAATGGTTGTGGTCCTCAACAAACTTCGTCGCAACCCAACTGTTTGCACCCTTTCTCTCTATACGTAGCATGGCATTGCAGCTTTCTACATTCTTTCTTTTGAATACCTCTCTCGAACATGCAAAGTCCCATGTCACAATTGGTCCATCAGGCTTAGTACGACTGAACTGACCAACGTGTGTGCTAAAACCTACATGCCTGGAATATGCATCATAAAGAGTCTTGGCAGCCTCCTCTGATTCGAATTCCATTCCCACATGTGGCTTAGTATTCCCATCATCCTGAATACTTATTTCCCTCCCTGTAAAATTTTGATTTACATTCTGCTTTTCACCTGGTTCAGTGTTTTCTTCCATGTGATGTTCCATGTTTTCCCCCTCAACATCTACCACCACTTCAGTGTCCATGACAGTTTTCTGAAAGATATGAACAACTATATCATTCCTTTTGGGCTGACTATCAAGAGTTCCTCATGGCTATCCCCACCGAAGCGTCAATAAAACAAGCTGATTAAGTATACAAAAATATCTATGAACTAGAGCTAACTATTATATAAAAAGTTCAAACAAATAAAAAGAAAAAAGATTACCGAGATCCAAAAGCCAAGGAGTAAGTGGTTGTTCACCAATAGCCTGCTCAGGAACACTCAATGGAAGGAGAAGAGCAAAACCTAGCTGCAAATAACCAAACTTTAAGAAATATCCTGATAAATACTTCATGTTGCGCAATCCAATTTTACGTTTCCACGTGTTTAACATGAATTCTTGCCAATGTACCATTTCTAACATGACATGATCATAACACAATTTGAGAAGGACTTGAGGTGCTGCATTGCATACCTTTGTATGATCTTAGAAGTGCCAAAATCTTTGTTTAATATTTTGTTTAAAAATTAAAAATGTTCAGGTCTGTTAGAGTAATTCCTGATTTCTTTGGTTTACAGAAAAGAAAATTCAATAACAAAGGAAGAAAAAGAGAAAGCCATTCAGCATAATTCATTAGTTTTTGTTTTAGTTTAAACTAATTCGTAACATTTGGCAACCACACAACAGAGTACCACTTTTCTATTTCTTCTTTACCCAAAACCATGACAACTGCACAATTCCCATCAGCACTAAAACCACTCACCATACAAGCATCAAACAATATCCCAACCCATGTTTTCCATTTCCAAAATTAAAGTAACATTCACTTCTGTAATCAGTTCAAGAACCCAGAATGTTGCTAAAACCAAACAAAAGGCTTTCAACAAAATGGGATCAAATGGAGCAAAGAAATATGCATAAAAAGTAAAGCCTCACCTGGTTTCTTCAAGCTTCAATTTCCGATTGGGAATCCAAGTGCCATTGTGGTTTCAGTGTTCAGAGCATGTGTTTTAGGGTTTGTCAATTTGGAGGTAAGTGAGAGTTTACGAGCATAGAACTCCAATTTTTGTTCTGAAGGAGTAGCCGAGTGACTGAGTCTGAGTGCATATACCCCAAACCCAAACCCAGACCCAGAAAAGAGGCTGTCGTCTTCGTCTCTACCTTAATTTTCTTTTTTACTGTTTTTCGGTTGACATTTTCACTTCCAAATTTTTCTTTTTTACTGTTTCGTAATTGTTACGTGTACGTATGGTGCACGTGCAACTGCGTTGCCAACTTGGGGAGTCCAGATCTGCTGTTCTTATTTTCCCTATGCCCTCTTTGTATCCTTTCTCAAGCATATATATCGATGATAATTTCGTATTTTTTCATGTGACGATATCGTAGTTTTTTTTATTTTTCCGCGAATTTATCGAGGTGATATTTTGCAACATTTAAAGGTTGAACTTGGTTAATTTATTGCCGAAACTATCGAAATTTCGCCAATATCTCGTGAGAATTTTGTCAAATTTTCATGCGTATACGCTAACAATTTGATAGCAATCTAACTCACGCAAAGGGCCGGCCCTGGGTGATTTAAGGCACAGGGCCAAAGTTTAAGAATGTGCCCTTTATCAACAAATAAATAAATAAAATTACAATTTTTTTTATCAAATAATAAATTTTATTAAAATTATAAGAGTTTACAACCGATAATATAGAACACTTTGGGTCTCATTAAAACCTTGTTTGAGGAAAACCCAATAGGAACAAAGCCTCAAACGAAGGAAAAAGAGTACCTAAATTTTATTAAAATTATAAGAGTTTACAACCGATAATATAGAACACTTTGGGTCTCATTAAAACCTTGTTTGAGGAAAACCTAATGGGAACAAAACCTCAAACGAAGGAAAAAGAGTACCTGATTGAAAACATTACAATCAACAACAAATTAACTTGCATGTCCTATGCTTCACCTTCATATGCACCTACAAAATAAAAATAGCAATGAAATCTTAATCATAAAAGATCATTTAAAATGTCTTCTTGTTGTAGTTTTAGAAGCAAAATCATCAATTATACTGTTATATTTAATGTTTTCCAACATATCTCTTTCAATGCATAATATAGCTAGTCCATTTAGCCTATCTTGAGTCATGGTGGTCCGCAAATAAGATTTTAATAATTTTAATTTAGAAAAACTTCTTTCAGCAGATGCCACTGTCACAGGTATAGTCAGTAATATCCTATAAGCAACCATTACATTTGGAAACATATCCACACTCTTTACAAATTCTAGAATTTTAATGGATGTCCATGGTTTATCTGTTTCAATTGCTTCACTTGGTAACATCCCTTGCAACACCTGTAATTCTAACTCTAAATCTCTTGCATCAATATCAGTATCATTGTCATGTTTTGAAGCATTTTCAAGATTCACACAAGAGCTTCTCAATTCATTTTCATCCAAAGAAGTCAATTTTGCAGCATCAAATAAGAACCCAAAAATAGATTCAAAGATATGCAATTGTTCAAACCTACTTTTCAATTCACCAAGAGCAATATCCACTATGACCAAAAAGTAATCAATTCTAAAGGATTCTTCAGATGATTGTTGTTCCCTCTCATTATTGGAAATCTCATCAAAATGTCTCTTTCTACAGGTTTGACGTTTTTTAAGAAATACAAGCTCAATTTCCATATCTAATGCAATTACTTTAGCATCATTCATGGCAGAAGTAAACCCATTTATCCTATAGTTTTCAAAAAATAAAACAAGTCCTTCTAATTGTTTTACACCAACATCAAGACGCATGTCTTCAGATTGTAATTTTTTACTAACTAAGTTAATCTTGTGCAAAATGTCATACCAAATAACCAAGCTTAATATAAACTTGAAACTTGAAAGCTCTCCTGATGCTAAACTTTCAGCATCCCTACTCAATTTAGCATCTTCACTAATTTCAGCTAATTTAAATAAAGCTTCTCTAATTTTAGAAGCTTGAGATTTTATTTCTTTAACACTTTCTATGTGACTTTCCCAGCGTGTAGTTGACAGTGATTTCAAAGTTAAACCATCAATATAATCAAGTAACACATTCCACCTTTTTGTTGAATTAGAGAATACCGTATATATGCATTGACATGCTCCAAAAAAAGATTTTGCTTTGACACATGACTTAGCCATATCACAAAGTACTAAGTTAAGACAATGAGAACCACATGGAATGTAAAACGCTCTAGGATTTATATCAAGTAATCTTTTTTGTACACCCATATTTTTCCCTTTCATATTTGATCCATTATCATAGCCCTGCCCCCTTACATCATCAATATTTAGTTCAAGCTTTTTTATTACATCTTGCAGTTCATTAAAAATTCCTAATCCAGTTGTATCTTAGACAATTAGAAACTCTAAAAAGTACTCTTCTATATTTATCGGAGTACATGAAACATCTACACACCTTAATATTAAAGTCATTTGCTCTTTGTGACTTGCATCAGGAGTACAATCAAGAATCACTGAAAAATACTTTGCCTCTTTGACTTTTTTAATGATTGTTTGTTTAACATTTGATGCTAAAATATCTATCAACTCATTTTGAATTTTATGGCTAAGATAATGATAATGAATTTTCTTATCTTGAATGAGACGAAAATGATGTTGCATTACTGGATCAAACTCTGAGATCATTTCAAGTAGGCCTAAAAAGTTACCATTGCCATCTTCAAAAACTTTTTCATTTGTTCCACGGAATGCCAAATTATGTGTAGCAAGACATTTCACAACAGCAATGATTCTGACATAACATTTTTCCAGTGCAATGTGTCTTTCTTGATTAGCTCCTGTAGTTTTTTTATCAATTGTTTGACTTGTTTTCAATCTTATTTGCAATTCAACACAAGACCTCAAGTTAGTAATGTGTTCAATACTTTTTTCATGTTGTTTAAGCTTTTCACTAAGATGTTTCTAGTCTCTAAATCCTTCACTTGCTAACTGACTTCTAGTATGCATTGTTTTAAACAGCTTACAACAAAAACAAAACACTTTATCTAACTCCTTTGGGTACACTAACCATTTTCTATCATGAGTCTCCCATTTGGTAATGTTCGAAGATAAAATTGTAAGGAAAAATGTCTGCATTGTTCAACATACCATTTAATGCTAACAGCAGCTTATCCACCAAGGCGGATGATTTTTTTGTCATTTCCTTATTTCTGTTAAATTTATCCACACCAATTATATGCTTTTGTCTTACAAAATATTTCTCACAATTTCCCTTTATCTCTTACTACATTAAAAATACCTCTAGTTGAAGCTGATACTATTATTATGTTTATGTTCGTAAATACTTAAAACTCTTATTATTTCTCAGCGAGCCTCATATGCAATCTTAGTCACATAAATCCACCATACAATTACATTTTATCAATTTCTTTGGTTAAATTGTTAGATAATTGATTAAACAAGCATGTCTCTAGTTTTCGTTCAAAATTTCCACATTTTCTAATAATTTTCATGGGTTTTCACCAATTTTTAATGATATTGATCCCTTTCGGATATTTTCATTGATATTTCTACATTTTGGACAATCGATATTTCCCAAATTCTTGATATTTAATTCTTTAATTAAACCTGAGAAGAAGAAGCAACAGACTGATGAAGAAGAGGAAGCAGCTACAGCTATACCGTTCATCCTCTTCCCGATTACGTCGTTGGGGATCGTCGCTGTGATGCTCCGAGTCAAATTCCGGTCAGTCTGCCATTATTTTTTTTTTCTTACTTCGCTGTGACAGCTGATTTCTAAGTATGATCAGCTTCATAAGAACTTCTTGGACGAAGCCGACTCTACTGTTCATCCTCTTCCCGATGACAATGTCGATGATCGTCGTTGTGATGCTTCAAGTCGAATTCCGGTGAGTCCGCCATTAATTTCTTTTATTATTTTTTTATTTTGCTGATTTCTAAGTTCGATCAGCTTCGTAAGGACTACTTGGACGAAGCCGATTCTACTGTTCATCCTCTTCTCGATGACGACGTCGGTGATCATCGTCGTGATGCTCCGAGTCGAATTCCGGTGAGTCCGCCATTAATTTCTTTTATTATTTTTTTATTTTGCTGATTTCTAAGTTCGATCAGCTTCGTAAGGACTACTTGGTCAAAGCCGACCCTACTATTCATCCTTTTCCCGATGACGACGTCGATGATCGTCGCCGTGATGCTGAGTCAAATTCCGGTGAGTCCGCCATTTATTTATTTATTATTATTATTATTATTTTTTGCTGTGATAGCTGATTTCTAAGTTTGATATGCTTCGTAAGGACTTCTTGGACGAAGTCGACTCTACTGTTCATCCTCTTCCCGATGACGACGTCGGTGATTGTCGTCGTGATGCTCCGAGTCGAATTCCGGTGAGTCCACCATTAACTTCTTTTATTATTATTTTTTATTTTGATGTGTTAGCTGATTTCTAATTTTGATAAGCTTCGGAAGGACTACTTGGTCGAAACCGACTCTACTATTCATCCTCTTCCCGATGACGATGTCAGTGATCGTCGCCGTGATGCTCCGAGTTGAATTCCGATGAGTCCGCAATTTATTTTTTTATTATCTTTTTATTTTGCCGTGATAGTTGATTTCTAAGTTTGATCCGCTTCGTAAGGACTTCTTGGACGAAGCCGACACTACTGTTATTGCTCTTCCCGATGACGACGTCGGTGATCGTCGCCGTGATGCTCCGAGTCGAATTCCAGTGAGTTCGCCATTAATTTTTATTTTTTATTTTAATTTTGCTGTGATAGCTGATTTCTAAGTTTGATCCGCTTCGTAAGGACTTCTTGGACGAAGCTGATCGGTGCATATTTTTATATTATTTTATACCCTTCTAGCTTATGATTTGGTTATGTTTTTGAGTTAAACTTGTGCTTTTAATCCTCTTTGTGTTTATATTTCAGTTCATTGAGCTTTAGGTAACAATGATGAATTTGGATAGGAAATGATGCAATCCATGCATGTTAAGGCCTTATTTGGGTGAATGGAAGAAGAGCTTATAGACAAACTCATTTTGGCTACAACTCCTTGCCAGCCCAGTTTCGTAGGTCAACTTCTTGGCCTTGGATGAGCATGCTATGGGGCTCGAATAAGGTGATCATCTTCATGAAACTTGTTCCAATGGGT